TTGCCCACAGGCATGGAAAATAGCAAAAATTATTCCACTTGCAAAAAATCCAGCTGGATCATTTTCTGGAACAAATAGTCGCCCGATAAGTTTATTACCAGCGTTAGGAAAGATAATGGAGAGAATAATGTTTAATCAAATACAGAAATACTTTGAAGGTAACAATCTTAATACTGCTTATCAACATGCCTACAGACCGGGCCATTCCACATGCACTGCTTTAACACAAATAACCGATGACTGGAAGGTGGAGGTAGATAATAGGAAGTTAGTGGGAACGGTACTACTTGATTTTAGTTCTGCCTTTGATGTCATCGATCATCCATTGTTGTTGAACAAGCTAGAGCAATATGGTTTTTATCTGAATGCACTGAGGTGGATAGAAAGTTATTTGACCAATCGATGTCAAACTGTTTTTTTCAATGGAAGTCTGTCAACTATTAAGAAAGTCAGTTGTGGAGTTCCTCAGGGGAGTTGTTTGGGACCACTTTTATTTTCTATTTTCACAAATGATCTACCATTGGTCTTACAGGAATCCAAAATGGTTATGTATGCAGATGACTCGACAATATATGGAGCAGGTTCATCTACAAGGGAGCTGTGTCACTGTATAAATAAGGATCTACAAATGATTTCAGAGTGGGTAATAAATAATAAGTTGGTACTTAATGCAGGAAAAACTAAATCTTTAATAATTGGGTCAAATCATCAGTTAAAATGTGAACCTAAATTGCAGTTACATTTAAACCATATTGACATTAAACAAGTAAAGGAAACTAAGTTGTTAGGGATAACTCTGGATCAAACACTGTCTTGGTCTAAACAAATTGATAATGTTGTGTGTAAAATGGGAAGGGGTGTGTCACTCGTTAAAAGAATTGTAAAACATTTGCCATTAGATGTCAGGAGACAAGTCTTAGATGCTTTGGTGCTATCACAGCTTGATTACTGTTTTGTTGTTTGGTCTAGTGCTTCAGAAAACGATTTAAATAAACTACAAGTAGCACAGAATAAGGCAGCACGATGTGTTCTGCAGTGCTCCTACAGAACCAGAGTGACTGAAATGCTGGAGACACTGAAATGGATGAGTGTTAGACAGAGGTCCATTTATTCTCTGTTAAATTTTGTAAAGAATATTACAGTGACACACTTACCACATATATTGTCACAAAAGTTCATAGCACAGTACTCTACACATAACTATCAAACCAGACATGCAATAGAAAAAAGGTTCATTTTACCCAAATCAAGATCAAATATCAGACAGAAAACAGTACTATACAGAGCAATGGTCAGCTGGAATTCGTTACCGGTCCATATCATTCAAGACAACTCAAACATACATTTCAAACATTTGCTAAAACAATATCTGAGAACTACAAATTAAATTTGAACTGTACTTGTGGGTCAATTAGTAATTAGTAATTAGTATTATCATGTAAATTATATTGTTGGTAAAATTTTGTTTAGGTTTTGACTTGATGATGGCTAAAATGTCCCCCGGAGCGCGTCAACGGAGCGGAGCCCGGAATACTCGACCAACACGCCGTCAAGAGTCGCGTCAAGAGTCGTGTCAAGAGGGCGCGTGGGTCAATAAACGGCCGTAAGAAATCAATGGTAAAGTAAGTTCATAAAACTACGCGACAATAGTACGATTACATGTCCCTCGCGTTTACCATGCCTGACAGACAGATCAACCGAACTGCTATTGTCGAATTTCAAAGCTCGGATGTTTTTGTACCTCGAAAAAGGGGAAAAATAAGTAAAAATACATTTAAACGTGTAAAGTACCAACTACGAGTCGGAGAGGGCAATTGAGATTGTCAGTAGTGCACAGTTGAGTCTCTTTATGACTATCTTTAGACACACATCAACAACTATGGTAACACTGTCTCCCTTGACTGTAAACCTTATTCTAAATTTTTATACGTCAAAAACTCGTACAGTTTCGTACAAAACAGAACTGATATGTTGGTAGGAGTAGAGGGTCGAGCCGGATCATACTAGTCAATACAGTTCAGAAGGACATACTACAGCGTCGAAAATGGGCTTGCGTTCCCTAGCCAGGAATTCGCATGAAAAACCAGTTTGTGAATCTATAGGTAACGATCGCCTACAAGTATCAGAAGATATATTATTATTAATAATAGCATAATAAGTTTAATTATATAAATTAATCAATCACGAATTAATTCCACGTCTAGTTTCTGCGACTGTTATTATACTTCTTTTTTAATTTCTACTCCGTTCAGGCTTGTGTTCTTTAATATATATATCATTACAATTTCAGTTTAAAAGTTTTTCTTAGAGTGAGTACTTTTCGGTCTAACTTCTCCACACAAGAACACATCAAGAAATTTACACTCACTCCGGCCACGTCAGAGACAACCCACAACCCTCACCCTAAAAGGTTTCCCTCCCCGGTCACTGCCTCTTTGGAGACCAGTGAGCTCCAGGCCACAACTCACGTCCACCCGCAAACTATCATCATCAAATCAAATCAAAAATAATCCTAGGGGTAATCGTGATCGTACTCGTAACCGATAAGAAGGACCCCCAGGAGTGGGTGTGTTTGTATGTATTATGTTTGGTCTTGTCTTGTTGAGTAGTAAAGTACTTTTCACGTACCATTCCTTCACTTTCGTTTTTGTTTTTGTTCTTTTTTTT